TGCAAAACTGCGGTAACAGAAATCTAAGATGTTGTAACTGGCCAAAGGCCAGCAGAGACACTGGTCACTTGGTTGTGTCTGTTCCTTCCCGGCTTCAAAAGAGTTTCAGAACAGGAAAAACAAACTTAAATGTGCCATAATGATTGGAAAAAATTAAAATGTTACCACATAACAGAAATAAGGCATGGAGGTGGTGCTTCTGAAGAGCAACTAAAAATACAGCACTTCCACCATGCTCGTTTCACATCACTGATACACAAGTCAGAAGGTGTCCCCTAATCCAGGCTGTTTCCATCACTGGCACTTCACATTACTTTTAACTCATGAAGGAACAGTAAATATCCATATGGAAAACCAAACAGGCATAAAATCTCCTTACCTTCCCTTCACTGCTATTAATTATGATGCATATATTAATTTTATTTTACTTATTCATCAAGAAAACAACTGAATCTAAAAGTTACAAATGGATTTTTGTGAAATTAAATTGCCTGACCATGGTATTACTCTCCATGCCGTTTCTAACCTGCTCTTAAAGCAAAGAAAGAAAAAACAACAACCCTATAATCAATGTCTGCAGAAATGTTTACTTGTCCCATGTGCCTGGTGATGTTTTGTTAAAAAATCATACAATTAGGAGCCTAGATGATGTAGGAGTATGCATTTGGAGCTTTGCCACAATTTTCGTGGTATATTGGACTGTCTGTACATGTTATTAGCAGGTTTTTTTCAGTGCATGCTATTAACCCAGTTGACTTCTTTCTGGTATCTGTTCTATAAATCTGCACTTAGCAATACAGCAGAATAATTTGCTGTGTGGTGCTCTTGTGATAAGGATAAGGATTTTTTTTATCATCATTACGGACAGTAATAATTCCTAGAGTGATACAGAGATATTGATCCACTGATCTAAAAAAAAAAAAAAAACCATTTACAAAGGTAGAGGAGCATTGCTATCTTTATTTTAAGGAATGGGATAATGGAGAGATGATGAGAGACCAACTCACCTATGGTCAACACAGCATAACAGTGGCACAGCTGCAAATCAAACTTGGGTATTTCTGGCTATTTTTGCACACTCCAGCTATCATTGCATGGCTGCCTGTGCTGGCATCTGTGGTCACGTAGCCGTTACATAGTGCTAGGAGTCAGGAGGTCTGAAAGTTTCCTTAAGCCGTTTACAATAAGTGATTTAAAATCTTAATCATCTGAGGCAGTTCACTTCTGCTTTTTCATGATAATGAAGCTTAGCACATGATATCACAATCATGAATTTTTGTAAAGCATACTTAGCTCTTCAGAAAAAGTGCTGGATTAAACAACCCTGCAGGCTGAATCCTTCTCTTTGAATAATGAATATAGTACAGGCAGTGGCAAGCTTCTTTAGATAGTCTCACGAACCCTGCTAAAGCAAAGGCCAGCTTCCATGTCTGTTGAGTCCCTGGTTTCTTTATCTTTACAGCCAACAAGGTATTTTTATTTTCAATACTTTTCACAGCTAGGAATTACTCTCTGCCAGCCAACTAATTTCACAGGAACTGTCCTAGAGCCTTTGGAAGGCAATGCCTTTTGGTTGCTGCCTGTTTCTTGTAGCTGGCTGGAATAAAACAAGTTACAAATATAAACAACAATTATTTCTTAGGTGCAGGAGCGAACAACAGTGGGGGAAAAAATGACTCAAGGAAAAAATTCCCAGTTCCTTTAAAATATACTGCTCCACTACTGGAGATTTGTATCATTATCTTAGTCTTGTTTTACAGATGAATTTCAAACAGCTGACAATAGGAATTTGGAGTGGAAATGCTGATGGTCCATTATCAGTAGTGACAGCAATGGCCACGACTTTATTAAAGTTCTGTCAACTCTTGACTAGAAACTACAATAGAAACAACCAGTTCAATCTCTCTCCCTCTCTCTCTTTATCTTAGCACTTATATCACACTCATCACAATGTGTTACCTTTTCCCTTGATGCCACAGGATGGGATTCCTCCTTGCTACTGAGCCCTGTGGTACACTACAACCCCATATCCCATCCATAAGTTGACAGTAGACCGTTACTACACTAGATGTACGGTTGCTGTTGTAGCGTAGACATGGCCTAAAAGTCAACTGAAAGCTTTTTACTCTTTATCAAGAATAAAAAAAAGCAGCACAAACCAAAACTGTTCTACTGAGCAGTGTAACCTGGAGCTATTCCTTGTAACTATCTGCTGGTAATAAACATTATTTGCCCAAACCCTTTAACAAAGCTCGAAAGTTGGCATAAATACCAATGAATATACTTTTCAAGCTCTTCTCATCCAAGATGCCATGATGTGCACTTGTTATGCAATTGAAAAGAGATGCCAAACAGAGTTTATTGGACCATATTTCCATCTCGCTACTGCGAGCACTGTGAGTCCCCGAAGGCTCTAGCATAGTGAGGACGGTGTTTTCCTAAGACAGTGACTATTTTTCATTCTCTCCTCTGTGTCTGGGAGGGCACCACATCCGGACGGGTGCTGGGAAAACAAATACTGTTTGTGGCAAAGGGAATTGTCATCTTGGAAACAGTAACGTGAATTAAAAGTCGTTAAGTATTGGAAGTCGTTACAAAGATTTAGCTGTATAAATTCTCCCTCTTGCTTTAGTGAAGTAGTTTTTCACCCTGTGCTTTTTCAGCCAAGCTCCCTCCACTGCAAATCTCCCTTAGCAGTTTTCATTTCAACTGTAATACCAACCATTTTCCCAACACTTTGCCTCCTCTCATGGAGTGGTGGTTTTGTGAAGCTGATAAACATCTGCCTGAAAACCTGGTTGGAACAGCTGAACTCATTTTCAAGTGTGAACATGGGTGTGTAGAAAGCAATTCAAGTTTAACAAGGCATGATGCATGGAGGCATGATAGAATATCAGTCGTGACTGTGACTGAAATAAACCCGAGTGGCAGAGAGGATACAGCTCTGCTACAACTACCGGTGTGTGACCTACCTGGACTTGGAACTTCAGCCTCCAGCAGCAAAGAGCAGCATATTAACTCTATGGCTCTGCTGTCTGGCAGATGACACTGCCCTGCCTGATACGGTGGTGACATGGCTTAAAAATCTCAACTTCTGATTATCGTGAGATTGCTATTTATGGCAGAACAAAACTACCCCACCAACCTCACTGACCCTGTTGGATTTCATAGTTAGCTTTTCTATGCTCATACTATGCCCAATGTCTGTTGAATAAAAGCAAGTACGCAGTGGGATTTCTGTGGATTCCAGGAAAGGTCTATTTCTTTTTTGGGTGATGCTGAGGAGTCAACTGAACCTTTTTGGGGCTCAAAACACCCTGATGCCCAGATCTTGTTATTTCAGCAGTTACTTTGCTCCTTTCCCACTTGTGTCTTCCATCACCCCTTCCCTGTGCTACCTACTAAGTGGAATCAGTGAAAATCAGAAATATTTGTTTTGTCTCAGTGTTGGGTCTAGATAGATAATGACAGACAATTCCATCAGTTAGCATTCGTTACTGAGCTACAGGAACCAACCTCAGACCCTTCCCCTAGCCTCCCCGAAGGCAAAAGCCATGCTCCTGAGGCTCCCCTTGCCTGAAGGGACTGCTGCATCTCAGTCCCAAAAGTTTAGGGATCGCAGAAAAAGCATGCATAAATTTAAAGTGCATAATTTTCTTGAGGTTCCCTATTATTCTCAAAGTGTCTTTTCAAGGAGTCCTTATTATTCAGAAGTAGTATAATAAGTGCTTTCAAGCAGCACCATGAAATATAGGAATACCTGCAAATTCCCCTGCTGAAATTTATAGGCATTTTAAAGAAGTTGGGTTGCACACAAAACAAAACCTCCCATGCACAAATTGTTGCACAGAATACTGCAGATCCTATGGCCTACTGGAAACAAGTAGATCCAAAAGTAAAGAAAAATATCTACACCTATATCTATATGCAAAATGGGTACTATTATTTTTTTCTGTGCCTTTTGAAAATGTAATAAAATGCATAAACTGTGCTTTCTATGTATTTTTTTTTCTATAGAAACTGAAGTGATGTTTTCACAGCTCCACACTTAAAATTACTTTACTCCCCATGCTGTTAAATGGCCGTGGCTAGTACCACAGCATCCTTCCCCACTGACAGAAGGGACTATCACTATTTTGTTTTCTACTTAGCACCACCTGGCACTGACTTTTTGAGAAGGTTCATGCTCTGAGAATACTTTCAGGTTCCATATACCACGGAATTATTATGCAGCCTGGGTCATCAATACACATTTATTTTTCTTTTCAATATGTTTTCAGAAGGCCCTTCTCCAAAAGGCACTTTTGCACTCAAAAGGGATCATCGGCTATTGAAGTCTGTGCTGTACTTCATTTCCAAAGTTCAGGTCAGCTGCTTGACCGTTCTCAGTGGTGCCGCTTAACACCTCTGCCCTGGTTTTTTTTTTGGATTCTGATAGAGGCACAAGATTTTAAAACTTTTTAATGAAGTTTTGTCCAGGCAAAGCTCGCAGGTTCAAGCTAACCTTTGTTTCTCAGTTACAGCAGACCTATGTTTTGCATACAGTTACAGAAAACACAGGAATGGAGGAGATGATAGTGCTGCAACATGGGCCAGTTCCCATGACCCTCTATGCCTTCAAGCAGTCCTTTACAGTTTGGGGTTTTTTTGGGGGTTTTTTTTTGGCCTTATGCTACAAAGGAGAAATGTGGTCAGGGAAGGAACTTAGATTTTGTGAGAGCAGAAAACTGAGGGTGTTTTCTCAGGGTGCAAAGGAACCTTTCCAGCTGACAAACAGGGTGATAACACAAGTTAATATGTTGGCACCGAGACCTTTCTGACACTGGAAATAAAAGGTGATAATTTCAGTCACCGTGAAAAGTTCATGCGGATACCTTCATCACGTGGGACGTATTACAGCGTAACCTCTAGCTGCAGACAGCGGCTGTGCCTTCCCTGGCTGTGACATATAGCTCCCAATTAGTACTTAAGGAAAGAGACTTTACAGACTGCACACTCACCTCTGCTCAGCCCATCTGGTCCCCGAAGGATTCGGCATTCTTCTATCTGGCCGAACGGAGAAAACATCACCCTGATATCATTCTCATTACATTTCTTCGAAACCATTCCTATGAACAATTTTCTGTCTTCCACAGCTAGAAGATAAAAATAATGAATGAGCAAAGGCCATTTCATCTTTTTCCTGTGATCAATGCTTCATTACCACATCAAACCAAGCTCCAGTCATGTGAGTCTGGCTCTGTAACTGAAGACAAGTCCTAAGGCAAACACTTTATACTTAAAACCTCCCTTCCCCGCTTCCTCCCCCACCCCAAATCTCTCATTTTTCTTTCTCTCTCTCCTTTTTCTAGTGGTGCTTGCTGTTTATATAAGATATTAATTGGCTGCCTTAGTCATTCTGCATATGTTTCCCCATCATGGCTTCTAAGGGAAAAGCATCCTCTGTTAGAGAGACTTTTAAAGATATCTTTGCATAGATTTTAATTCAGATCAATTCCCTCACCTCCCTCATGTATGGAAGAAATCATGACAGGGGTGAGGGTGAAGAAGGGATTGTGCAAGTAATGATATGAGCTAATGAAAAATATTCCTGAGAAATGTTTTGAGAGAGCAGCTCCTATCTGAGCTTTCAATTTCAACCAACTTAATGTGTGGCACTCGAAAGGTAGATGTGTAACGACTGCTCTGGAAAAAGAATGCATTAAATTTTCCTGCTTTTTTTCAGACTGACACAGCCCTCTCCCCTCCAGGAGGACACAAGGCATCACTTTAACAAGGGGGCTGCATAATCTTTCTCAGAGCCAAACCTTTTGATTTGGAATGATGCTGAGTTTGCAGAAAAAAAAAAAAATATCCATGAAAAAGGTGCTTTATCTGAATTATTGGCAGAATATTTCCTGCCTGCATTGTCACCAAAACCAGCAAAAGCTAGACTGCTGCAGCAGGATGCACACAGTCCTGTTAATCAAACTCCAATTTCCAGGTCTAAAGCTGTGGACTCTTGTCAAAAATGAAACAGGTCATCAAAACTTAATTTACCCTGGAAAGACTTAAAAATGTTAATGCACCCTCCCATCTATATTAAACCAAAAATCTAAGTGCTTATTATACAGTCTATACACCAGTGCTTTCTTCTTCTCTTGAAATGGCATGTAAATCCAATTCACTGTTAATGAGCAGACTGTCAGAGTTTGCAGGGAAGCAAAGAGAGAAGGAAAGCTTTACTCCAGAGAGTCTGCAGTGCACTTACTTATTTCTATTATTGTGCAAATTATTTTTGTAATGAAGTATTTTCATTTCTGGGCTTACAAAAAAAGTAAAAAAAAAAAAAAAAGGACTCTTCCCTTGCTCCCCAACTCTCTCTCCTGTATTAGTACGAGTACAGCTGAGGAAGAAGAAACTGAATCTATTTTTATAGGATTTTATTTGTGTTATACTTCAACACTTTAAGTGCATTTAATAGTTTCAACAATAAAAATAAGTGGTTCTTGTTTATTCATCATTAGAGGTGTTTGAAGTAATGTTTTCCTTAGAATTGATGACTTTAAAAGTATTTATAGCTTTTATACAACCAAGCACCAAAACCATGCATTTTTCAGAATCCAAAACAGAGACCAGCCCCTACAATCCCAGCTTCTCACTCTACAAGCTTGCAAGGAAATTGGCGTGAATTTAACACCCAGGAGACAAAGTTTTCCTCAGCAGAGGTTCCGCAAGACTCAGCGTTTTCATTCACACCTTATATTGAGGTTCCACATGCAGGTTAACCCTCCAGAAAGGGTTAACAAATGATGAATGCATGGGATGAACCAGTTAGATACAGATCAGGAGCTCAATATAAGACCAGCAAATTGGGATTTTTCTTTTTTTT